CCGGGCTAAGATCAAATGTAGGGTGCTGCCAGGAAAACAGTCTAAAGATGAAGCCAAGACTTTGTTAAGACCTTGGAAAGATTTAAGGCGCTGCCTCAAATTCCTTGAAAGATCTTAAAAGCATAAGAATTTCAAAGGCATGCTCCCACAACAGCTTCACAGGAAGCCCAAGGTGAAGAGTTTATCTCAAAAAGACATGAGAGTAGCTTTTCCAATGGCATGAGCCCCAATAAAATTCACAGGAAACTCAAAGTTTTAAAGAGAACCGTGGTAGCAAAAATACTGCTTGCTAGCTTGGACTGAAAGAGACAGAGACAGTGCAAAACGGCAAGAGGCACTTTGGGTTTTTCTTAGAAGGTCTACGAGGAGGAAGCTGGCTGGAGAGAACTGCTCATGAAAGGGACAGAACAAAGAGCTCAGAGAGGGCAGCGAAGGAGAACCCCTCCCAGGGCTAGGACTAAGTCCTAATTAAAGAGCCGGCAGCATCAGGCTGCATTTCAGAACTGCTACGGACCAGTGTGCCTCCCATCTTCCATCTGTGAGTGAGGGAGTCCTTAGCAGTTTAGCAGAATGTTGGGTGTGTGGTGGCAAATAACCCGTGTCTCCTTCTCCTCAAGCCTCAGCACTGACAGGAGTGTACCCAAGGGGCTGTACTCCAGAAACCATGCCCAGGAACCTCAGCCCCACCTGGACCTGATGAAAACCTTTGGACGGGAGCCTGAGCCTAACACCACAGCGACCGAGACCTGCTCTGGAACTGAGCAGGGATAAGTGGATTTCTCGTATGGAAGCAGTAAGAAAACATTGTGGCTAGTGAGAAGATTATGCTGGTTTTTGAATGTCTCCATAAATTTTCAAAATTAATTCCATAAAAAAGGTAGAATACGGGCCAACCTTAAGCGACCTGCTCCTAGTGAACAGAAACAGTGAAAGTGGCACCGAGTGAACTGCAGGGCTAGGTTTGAAAAGGCAATTCAGCTTCTGCCTTGCTCTTAACCCTGGAACTTAGTCTCAGGTGGGTAAGCTCAGGCCACAAAGACAGCTTAGGTGTTCCAGGGCAGGTGGTCCACCTGCCTGCCCCACCGAAGCCACAGCCCACCGCCAACATCAACCATCAGACATCAATGGATGAACCTTCGAGTGATTCCAGCCGCCCGCCTTCGAGCTGCCCCACCTGAAGCTGAGAGGAATAGAGGCCGGCTGTCTCGGCCACACTTTTCCTAAGTGTAGGTTGTGAACAAAATAAATGCTTATTGAAGCCACTGAACTTTGGGGAGTTTGTTAGGCAAAAACAGAAAAACAGATGAAAAAAGATAGTAAGAAATGTAACTTGAGTATAGTAGAAACTGGTCTCCTATAAACTGGAACGTAACAAACGTTGAGATGAACTTACTAGTGAC